TGAGAAGGGGCATGTTACAGACTGAATTGTGTCCACTAAAATTCACATGTTGAAGCCCCACCCTCCAGTACTTCAGAATGTGACTGTATTTGAAGACAGAACATTTAAAGAGGTAATTAAGTTAAAATGAGGCTGCTGGATGGACCCTAATCCAATCTGACTGGAGTTTTTAGAAGAAGAGGAGATTAGGACACACAGGGAGACACCAGGAAAGTGTGCACACAGAGGAAAGGCCATGCGAAGACACAGAGGGAGGACCACGTGAGGACACAGGGAGAAGGTGGCCATTGGCAAACATGGGAGAGAGGCCTCAGGGGAAACCAGACCTGCTGACAGCTTGATCTTGGACTTCCAGCCTCCAGAAAGATGAGAAAACAAGGTTCTGTATTTTAAGCCACTCAGTCTGTTGTGTTATGTTACAGCAGCGCTAGCAAACTAATATGGGTCAGGAATAGGCAGTATTCTATTGTTGATATCAGTAGTGGTTCTATGGATTATAATTCAAAATGATTCAGTAATTTATACATGACTATTTTATGTGTATTTCAAAATAAAAATGTCTAATTCTAAGACACGTTGTTGAGGAGGACCCTCAGAGATCTCTAAAGAGTAAGCAGAAGAATAGTTTTTAGGGATATGACATTTAGGGCACAGGATATCCTCTGTTCAAGGCTGCAACTGAGCTCTGTGGTGCTTCTCAAGGGGTGATGCCCGCAGCTGAGCAGGGCAGACCCACTCATTTGGCCCTTGGGCAGAAGCAAGGCACCCTCCCTGTATAAAGGGGACTCTAGGCAAATGTCTGCTGGTCTGTCGTGGCCTGGAGTGTGGTATAAACTTGAACTATTCAATATGGTAGCGACCAGCAAGTTCTAGGGGAAATGTGCTGTAAATGTAAAGTATACACAGACAGTTGAAACTTTAGAATAAAAAATCTTAAATATCTCATTGTTAGTATTTTGTATTAATGAAAATTTAAATAATAATATTTAGGTTTTTTTGGGTTAAACTAAATATATTATTACTTGTTTCATCCGTTTCTTTTTGACCTTTTTCAATGTAAGCAAAAAATTTAAAATTGTGTATGCAGCTGGCCTTTGTGGTTCTCATTGTATTTCCATGGGATGGTGCTGGTATAAATTCAATGAGCATGTGCAGAAGGAAAGGATGAGTGAAGACAGCTGCAGTACTTCTTCAGACTGCAGTGTTTTGAAGACTGAAGTGCTGATTTTCCTTTCTGAGAAGTTGATAGGAGCCATTGACACGGACCCTACCTGAGAGCAGTGCAAACAAGCTGAGGAGGTGGAAGAAGAGAAGGGAGAAATGCAGGAGAAACCAGAGACCTAGAGGCACAGACATGGAGAAATCAGCCAAGGAGACTTGGAACCACAGTTCTCATCAAGGTCAAACTTTCCTGTTACCTCTGTTGGTATCATTAACACCCTAACTTCTGTCTTGGGCAGCTCCCTTCCTTTCCTGGCTCAAGTATCTCTGATAGATTGACTCATGAAACATTCCATAGAATAAGTCAACAACACAAGGATGAAGAGGGAAGTTTTCTGCTCTCTTTGTCTCACTTTTCTGGCTGGAGTGGCATTTCTTCAGTTGTCATTTCACATTCTTCTATACCCTCCCTCCCTTCCATTCCTCCTCCTGATGAATGAGGCTGTGAGACCTCAGGTAAAGCCAGTCCTGAAGAGCCTCCCGACTAGGAAGCTTCCTCTCTCCAGGGACTCTGTCTTTCCCCTCATCAGGTTCCCTTCCTCTATTTCCTGCCCCACCGACATCCCAGACCCATAGAGCTTCCCCTCCCTTTTGTATCTTTTAAAATTAACTTCTGAGGTTTCTTTTCTCCTCTGATGCTCAAATGATGATTTTCCATTTATCCCTTCTCTCTCTAAGCCACCCATGGACACAGTCTAACCAGAGTACCAACTGTCCGGAAAGCAGAGAAAAAAATTTTCATCGTCTCCCATTAGACAGTGTGTGCAAGGCTGTGGGATATGGAAGCCGGGCCACCGTGTGACTACAAAGTCCTTGTATTTCCAATGAATGGTTTAGAGCTCATGATTGGATGACTGTAGGTCAGCCACCCAATGGAATCCCTGAGCCTAGTTTCTCACCAGTTACTAGGTAGAATACACAGAAACTTTGATAATTGAAATCAAAGAGTACAGAATAGCCTTTAGAGATGATATGGCCTTTTTATTTCCTTTTTCTGTTTTCAGAAGGAAAGTATTTCTCATTTTTTTGGTGAAATCTTGAGATTCCCTGTGGATTTTAGCATTGCAGCTGACCAGAGGAGAAGCCTCTGTGTGTAGAAGTGTGTATGGAGAGGTAGATGGGCCTGGGGTGGGGAGGTGACGAGGCGAACACAAGCAGCCCACTTCTAAAACCTAGGGGAATCTTGTTCAAGTTGTTCCCCTTGTGGGGAACAGTGGAAAGATAAGAGGGAACACAGGGAACAGTTGGAGGGTAGAGAATGAAGCAAGACAGCACTGTAGCAGTAAACTGTAGACCTTGTCATTCAGTCAAAAACCATTGAGGGAGAGATGCTGAGGATACTGAGAGGAAAACCCTTTTTTCTCAAGGAGGTGGCATTCTAGTGGGGCAGGAAGACGGCAGCAAAGAAAGACTTTCCAACTGGGCTTCATCCTCTGCCAATAGACAGAGCTATTGAGTCCAACACCCCTACACCCACACAATGCTCCCCTCCCTTGCTCCACAGACCGCAATCAGGTCTTTGTTTAGATTTCTTCTAGAATAATCTTCCTGAGACACATTACTTTACATTTCCATCAAGATCCTAAATGCTCCCCCTGGAGGCCTCCAGTTCCTTTCTGATTCATTTCAGAACTGTGCAATTAATGCACTAGCATTACGTGTTAATCCACAGTATCCTCACAAGACTAGGATGCTCTTGGAATGGACAGAAGAGAGAGCTGTAAGAGTCTAAAAGCCTGGCCTGCATATAGTCTCTATATGAAGAAAATAAGGCCCATGGGTTCTGGGGAAGGTTGTGTCAGAAACATCCAGTGAAGCCAGGCCTCAACCCCTGTGGTAGCTGACCTGAGCCAGAGGGACACACATGTGTTCTGAGGGTGAGGAGGACCCATTGTTCATGAGGTAGCTCAGCAGGAAACCAGGTCCCACCAGGATGTGCCACTTCAGATCATGACAACCTGACCCAATCATTCTCTGTCATGAGAGGGATAAACCTAGAGGGTGTGTTCCTTCCTTTGAAGCACCTCCAGCTGTGGATTCCTTCCAGGTGAGGCCAAGACATCTTGGCTCACAAAAGACATTCTTACTCTGTCCTGGTCAAATTCAAATTACTGTTACTTATGGAATCAATGAGCATAGTAAAATGGTTGTGTTAAGTTGCGAATTTTCAGGACTGCAGCAATAGTAAACAGTACATTTACTTTGTTATAAAAGTACAAATTTCACAGAACATGCAGCACCAAGAAAACCGGGCCCCTATAGGCACTGGAAACAAGGATGGGAAAGTTGCCTAAACTCTCTCCATCTTGAACATTTCTCTCTGCATATCTGCTTCGGTTTAATCTCTCTGGAGATGACCTTCGTTTTGCTTCTCTAGACCATGGTGTGGATGGAAAATGCCTTCCCACAGCTCCCATGCATACCTGCTACTAGCCAGGTATCACAGGCTACATATCACTGAGCCATTCATTCAAAATATGCAAGGTATTAACTCTGGTCTAGTCTGGGTCAGATGTCCATCCCACATCCAGTCCATGTCAGGGGTCAGTGGGGCCACTTATAGGGACATGTAGTGGAAGACAGGAAGCCACCACTGCTAAATGGATGGGCTTGGAAGGAGGGCAGACAGGTCTTCACAGGCATTCACTATATTGTCAGAAGCAGAGCTTTATAAACAAATGCTGTTGATACCCAATTTCCTAGTCCCTTGGTCTACCTCAAGTAGACAGTTTCCTATAAGATAACAATTTCCCAGGTGCCTGCCTTTCTTCTTCTCCACCTGAGAGCTTTCTCTAACACCACTGATGCTTGCTTCTTTGCATATACACAGCCTAATTGGAATTGCAGGGGAGTCAGCGCTTCTCCAGGTGCAGCATTCAACCAAAGGAGGATATGAGTTGTGGAAGAATGGCCCAGGCTCCCCATCAGTGCTAAGAAGATTGTGAGGTATATTCCACAATTTCACATGGTTTCTCAGAGTGTCCTGGGTGGCACCAAGCCCAATTTCCCACTTAACAACCAGTTAATTAAAGTACCCTTTGTACCATTTTTCACTTAGTTAGTTTTTCTCCTTTTATTTATTTCCGAACTTGGGTTTTCTGGAATCTCTTCCCAAATAGACTACCTGAACTCAAGTCCTTGAATCAGGTCAGCTTTTGGGGATCCCAAACTAAGAGATGGGATTAGGTAGAAATTTCTCCACACATTGTATCCAATGGTGAGAATTGTATTTTCTGGAGAGGTGCACTCTAACATAGATACTTGGCTCTATCAAGTGAATAAAGGACTACAGATAAAATTTCCAAAAATTCACAAGAATCTCTAATCATGGAGGGCCTTAGTCTATACAGGGGCCTACCAATATGAATAAATCTTCCTCCTACAAAGTGATGCTGTGGTGATGATAAGTGTAGTAAGCTAAAGAGTCCACACCATCATCTCTGCCAACTGTGAATATGATTCTTTACACGGCAAAAGGAACCTTACAGATGGAATTAAGGTTTTGGACCTTTAAGTAAGGAGATTATCTTGGGTTCTTAGGAAAAGCATCCTGGATTATCTGGGTGGACTCAATCAAATCACATGAGATTTTTGTTTCTGTGTGTGTGTGTGTGTGTGTGTGAGGAAGATTGGCCCTGAGCTAACATCTGTTGCTAATCTTCCTCTTTTTGCTTGAGGAAGAGTGTCACTGAGCTACATCTGTGCCAATCTTCCTCTATTTTATGTGGGATGCCTCCACAGCATAGTTTGAGGAGTGGTGCTAGATCCACGCCGAGGATCTGAACCTGCGAACCCCAGGCTGCTGAAGAGGAGCGCAGAAACTTAACCACTATGCAACCAGGCTGGTGCCTAATCACATGAGGTCTTAGGAGTGGAAGCAGGCAAAAGTGTCAAGAGATTCAGTGGAAGAACAAGATAGAGTCAAAGACTGAGAAGGACTCAAGCTGCTATTGCTGCTTTGAAGATGTAGGAAGAGGGTCACAAGCCAAGGAAGGTGGCAGTCTCTAGAAGCTGAAAATAGCTCTGAGCTGACAGGCAGCAAGGAATGGCAACCTCAGTCTTACAGCTACAAGAAACCCACTTCTGCCAACAATCTGAAGGAGCAAGTACACAGATTCTTCCAAGAATCTCAGGGACACCAGAAAGGAACACAGCCTGCAGGAACCTTGATTTAGCCCAGTGAGACCCATGTTGGACTTCTGACCTACAAAAATGTGAGATAATTAATTTATGTTGTTTTATGTCCTAAAATTTATGGTAATTTAAGGATTTTGTGAAAATGTTGCCATGGACTACACTGTGAAACTGTGGTCACTTAAAATCCAGAAAACACTCAGTTGAAGAGTGAAGATAATTCACAAATTTACTTAAGAAATGTAAATTGACTACCACATCCTGGGTAGAGGGGATACAGAAGTGAACAATAATAATGATGATAATGTAGAGTAGCCTTTCCCCAGTATCCATCAGTTGAAAGGAACATCCCTCAACATCAATGAGTGATCAGGGGTGGAAATATGCCTTTCCTGGAGATGGATTCTACAGTGAGATAAAAATACCACTAAAGTTCATCTAGCTTCCTTCTTCCCAAATTCTTAATCCACAGACAATCTTTAGGTGTTAAGTTAGGCTGCCTAGAGACCTTCAAAGTAGGAGCATTTGTTGTGGCTCCATGATCACACATCACTTTGGCGGAGCGGGTACACATGTGCCCATTATTAGGTAAGAGTTTGGCCTCTAGTCCCTTCACATCCTGTATGATGCAGTCCCTGTGAATTCATTCTCTGGACCAAGTCATCCTGCAGACTCAATCCAATGAAGTGCTAGACACATGGCTCTGACAACCGACCTTGAGGGAAACAAGAGGGGTGTGACCTCCATAGTCACCTATAGGGATCCTTATGGAGGGGGTCCTGGAAAAGGTGCCTCAAGGCTGCATATAGGGCAGTGGGGCTAGAAAAGAAGAACAGGGTAGCTGGAATGGATGGGACAGGGGCCCAACCTCTCCCAGCAGCACAAGTTTCTGTGTGAATTAAGTAAGTGCTTAACTTGGCCCCCTTCTTCAGTTGCCACATTCTCGAAAGGAGACTACCTCATGGGGTAGTTGTGAGGAGTAAATGAGTGAAACTCACTTAAAGCATTTAGCACAGCACTCAGTACATTTTAATTTATCTGTAAGTGTCAGTCATTATTATTTAAATCCCAACTGTTGCTCACTTGCTGAGTCACCTTTGGAAAGTTAGTTCACTTTTTTACACATCCCCTGTTTCTTTATCTATAGAAAGGAGACAATAATGTTGTACCACACGCAACTGTCATGTGAAATAATGGAATTAATATTAGTGAAGTGCTCCACACAGTGTTTGCATTTAGTCAGTATTTTATTGTTGTGATGTGTTGCTGTTAAGGAGAGGGCCCTCGGCTCCAGGATGGGCAGGGGGCAGCAGGGATGTTACCTCAGCCTCAGGGTCCCTATTCCCGTCAGCTGAGCCTGGGGTCAGTGGGGTCTCCAGGGAATAGTCAGACACTAGGGCAGTAACAAGGGAACTGTGCACTCACGTCAGCACTGGGCATATGGTCAAGGCAGTGGGATGCCATGACATCAGTCTGAAAACTGGGTACACAGGCTTAGAGAAGGAGGTGTGCGGGAATGTGTAGATGTGAGATCCATCCATGGCATTGTAGAATGAGACCTCACCAGTCTCATAGTCTAGGAAAACCCCCACTCTTTGAGGAGGGTTGGAAATTGTCAAGTCTGTCCTGGGGTCAGTGAGAGCCTGATAGTCTTCCCCATTAGACAGGCTAATAGTCCAGAATCCATTCTTTGGTGACATATTAACCCTAAATACTCTCTCCACGTTCTTCGTACATATCCCGACACACCACTCTCCCCTGTACCCAAACTCAACCTCCCAGAAATGTCTCCCTGACCTGAAGCTGTTGAAGCCAAGCACACAGTGATGCCCCAAAAATCTCCTAAGATTGTTTGGCCGAAGCAGTTTTCTATCTGTCCACCACAGGCTCTTCTTGTCCCCAGAAACACCGAGGTTGGGGTGTGCTGTGCCCCGATCCAGAATCACATCCGCTGCAAAAAGATTGGGGCAGGCCATGGGGTCAGCCATTTTTCCTAGACCTCAGAGCCTCAGCCTTTAAGACCTAGGCCTGGCTGAGAAGGTCTGGGCCAGAGCATGGTGTCCCCAGCTTGCCCTGAATGTGATCTTCTCAGCTATAATGAAAGAAATGCCCAGGGGTCTTATGTTCGGTGGAGAAGAGTTATCAGGGTCATGGTCTGTATAATCCAACATCTCAAGCTGGTTCCTTCCTTCCATCTTTTTCCTATTTCCCTCCCCAAAATGACTCTGCCCACATGTGGTTTATAGTCACATAGATTTGAATTTCAGTCCTTGCTCTGTCACTCCTGAGCTGAATGACTTTTCATTTTCTGAAGACTCTTTTTCCATAGACCCAAGCTATGTAATGTCTTTGAGCCTCAATTTCCTTATCTGAAAAATAGGGATAAAAATACTAATCTTTAGGGTAGAAATAGACAATACGTTTTATATGTAGCCCAGGGCCGGACATGGAGGAAGTGCCTGATGTTATAGTAGCTCCATGCCTTTTCTGTGCTAGAGGACATGTTGGGGGCTTTCTGTGCTCCCAGATGCACTCTCCTACCTTTTTCTACCCTCTTCTGGGACCCAGAAATCTAGTGTCTATGGATAGCATCACTGGCCCCCTTGTGTCTGGTTGTCTGCTGAGTTTGCCAATGAGATTTATTGGCATTTGCCAATGCCGATAGTATTTATTTCCCCCACTTCCTCCTGTCAATATCAGATGGTTATTCTCTCCCAAAGGCATGACTCTTCTCAGGCAGCTCTGTCCTTGAGCTGCAGTTTCCTCTAGGCTCCAGTAGTTACTCACTTTCCCTATTCCTTTAAGCTTATTGTTGGTGACCTCTCCCCACTATTGAGAGCCCTGGGGCACTTCACATTCCCTAACCTGCCTCCTGTCTTTGTAAGGAGTTCCTTTTCTAAACATCCTTCAACCACCCAGTTTGACCATGCCAGCTCTTACGTGGTTTTTTGACCAGTATACGTACGTTACCTCATTTAGTCTTTGCCTCAAGCCTCACATAATAGGGATTATGAAAATAATTTAAAAATGAGGAGAGTGAAGTTCAGAAACATTAAGTAACTTGAGAACACACAGCAGGAGGAGGTGGCATAAGAATCTTGGGAAAAGCAAAGATCTTTGTGCACTGCCTTTCTCCTTGGTCATTCCACATCCTCACTCTCCCTGCAGTATTAGTTCACTCTGCCTCTCCTTCTCTCACCTCTACCCTTTATGCCTCTTCCTTCCCATAAAGATCTATGGAAGCCGAGCAGAGCAATCTTCCCTGCTTCTCTGGGCTCTCAGCAGGAAGGCCCTGGATATGGACATGCTTTTGAGACAAGAACCTAAAGTCATCCACCCAAAACTCTCCCAGTCATAGGGACTTTTCTTCCCGGAATCCCAAGAGTTGAAGAGGAAAAAGGGAATATGTTCCCTCAGGTTGTTGTCCTAGGGAATATACAGTGATTCACTCACCAGGTTGGTAGAGGGCCATCTTCCATTCTGAAAGGCAGGAGACACAGATAAGGGAAGGGCATTATTTCTGTGCTTGCCCCCACTCATTCTCCTCACTAAGCCTTTTCTCTCTCCCTTTCTTCAGTCTCCCAATGTCCAGCTTCTTTCATCTGCAGCTATGCCAGATCAGACATATAACATGTCAGAAATGGTGAACTTCCTTCCCTCCATCATGCTGGGGCTGCAGGCCACATGGCCAGGCTGTGCTAGGGTGTGTGCATGTGTACCAGCAGGGTGAGGGATGTCGGAAAATGCCCAGATGCCTGGAAGGTCCTCTCTGAAGCTCCAGAAAAGCAATGGTGGTGTCCCCCACAGAAAATGAGCATCTGGGCTAGATCTGATTATTCCTACTGGGAATACCAATGGGTCGAGTGACAGAGAAATGGTTTAAATGTTTACAACACATGTGCCAGGAAACTCAGAGGACATCAGGGTCACTCACCAGCATAGACCTGAGACATCCCTCCACCTGCATTGGGAGAAAGATAGAGACATCACCTGAAATGTGTCATTTCTGAGTCATGTCCTTTCTCTTCCTTTGCACCCATCTAATCTTTCTTTTGGACAACTAGCCCCAACGCTTCCTACCATCTCCCTCTGCCTGTTCCATTCTCTCATCCCCTCTCCTCTTTAATATCAAGTCTGAGGACATCAATTCCATGCTGATGATACCACAGGCACCATGGAAGTGCTTTCCCAGCTGAGACCCAGCAGATCTATTCTGTGTGTATCTATGCTCCCATTCCTGGGTGTAGGTGTCACTGTGTGTATACCTATATGTGTGAGTGTACTAGAATCCCTGTGTCTCAAGCTGTATTATCTCTTGCCTACTTCTGAAAAGAATTGGGCAACTTAATGAGGAAATTTCAGGTGAGACTTTTTAAAAAGCAGTTCTAATAAATCTATGACTACTGAGCCACTGTGACCACTTGTTTTTTGGAGACACTGTTCTCTCCTTCTTCCTTGATTTTCTCATTGTTTTATTTATTTATTTTTCTTCTTCTTCTCCCCAAGCCCCCACAGTACATAGTAGTATGTTCTAGTTGTGGGTGCCCCTGGTTGAGCTATGTGGGATGCTGCTTCAGCATGGCTTGATGAGCAGTGCCAAGTCCATGCCCAGGATTCGAAGTGGCAAAACTCTGGGCCGCCAAGGTGGAGTGAGAGAACTTAACCACTGGGCCACAGGGCCAGCCTCATGATCTTCTCATTGTTTTAAATCTTACATTCTTTGTGTTCTTCTAGGCAGCCGACAGATTATGTAAAGCAACCAGTGAGGTTCCCAGCTTAGGGAAGTCACTTGATCTAGCGAGTTCCACCCCCCTCCTCCTTTCCTTTCAAGTGCACTCCTGGATATTCCTTCATGCTTTGCTGGTTGGAGAGTATATGGGCCCCTCCTGGAGAGATACTGATGGATCTTTTCTACATTAAAAATCATGACTTTCCTTGCTTCCCTAACCATCAGCTAACCTTATTTCTCTCCCTTGGTAAAGGGATCCAGGATATTTCTCAGCCCTGGGCAGAGTTAGGAGTGAGGAAATAGACTGGGAAATATCCTAGCAGAGATTCTTAGATGCAAATTCAGAGAACATGTCAGAGCTACTCACGAGCCATGTACTGGATCTTTCTCCACTCTGCAATGAAGAAAGGTGAAGAGTCATTAACACACTTAAACCAATGATAGGGAGACATATATGGATCCCTGGGGGAGTCATAACTTACTGAGTTCATGCTGGAGGTCCTCTGGAAAATAAGCCAAAACAAACCATTATTGATATGGAGATGGAATGGGAAGTACCTCTGGAAAATAAACCTTACAAATGACCCAGTGCAGGGGTAGATGCACAGGATGGGGAGGGGTTGAGGTCTTTGGGGGACACCTTCCCCTGTGCCAGTGCCTTGGGTTCCCTCCCTGGTCTGATACCTCTTGCCTTTTCTTCCATTTGCTCTTTCTCTTTCTCCTTCTGCTGTCGGCACAGGAAGTAACCCATCCCCGTAAGAATCAGCAGCAAGATGGACAGTGTCCCCACCAAGGCTGTGATCCAGGGCCAGGTCCTCCAGAAGGGGTCTGCAATGGAATGAAGCTTTAGCCTCTCATCCTCAGGGCAGGGATCACAGAGCTTATTTCATGACATTACATAATCCTTCTTATTCTAAAGTATCATTGAACTTTGGGTAAGACTTTGGTACACTCTTACTGTAACATAATATCATTACTTGTCTTGAACTGTCTGCTTCTCACATCTAAATATGAGTTGCTTGAGCATCAGAATCATGTTTTTTCTAGTTTAATTTTTTAAAAGGTTACATTTATGGGCTGGCCCATGGCCTAATGGTTAAGTTCGGCAAGCTTTGCACCAGTGGCCTAAGTTTGGTTCCCAGGAAGAGACCTATGCCACTTGTCAGCAGCCATGCTGTGGTGGTGAACCACATACAAAATAGAGGAAGATTGGCACAGGTGGCAGCTCAGGGTGAATAGTCCTCAAGAAAAAAGAGAATAAGAGGAAGATTGGCAACAGATGTTAGCTCAGAGCAACTCTTCCTCAGCAAAAAAAAAAAAAAAAAAAAGGTTCAAATATCAGAAAGACATAAAAAGTCATCCAAACCTCCCATCCACTGAATCCTCCCTCCCCACCTTAATTAGCCTCTCATCAGTCAGCTTAATATGGTGGTTAAGAATATAAACTTTGGAGCTGGAGGGCCTGAGTTCAAATTCAGTCTCCTCCATTTGACTAGCAACGAGATATTGGACTAATTACTTAACTGCTCTGTATTGGTGTCCTAATTTATAACATAGGGTAATAACAGTATCTCACTCATAAGTTTAAAGGATTCAATTAATGCTTATAAAGGGTCTGACACATAGTGAGTGCTAAGCAAATGTGTTTTAAATTTTAAAAAGATAAAGATATACTTATTTTTTTTTTGGTTTACACCAAACATAGCATTCTATACAAATTGCTCTGCATCTGGCTTTTTCTGTTCATCTTGGAGATTCTGCCATATTAGTACAGAGAGAATGTCTGCATTTTCTTTCCCAGCTGTGTAATATTCCGTTGCATAGAAGTTCCCCATCGATGGATATTTCCATAGTTTCTAGCTTTTTTGCTATTATAATTGATACTATAAGAAATTACATTTTACAGGCGTCATTCCATAGAAATGCAAGTATATCTGTCAGATAAATTCCAAGAACTGAGATTTTGGATCAATAAATAAGCAGTTTGGAGAAATACTGCTATATGCCCTCAACAGAAGTTATGCCAATTTACATTAAAAAATATACCAAAGTATACCAACAAAAGTCTAAAAGTGACAGTCTCCCCACAATCCTGCCATCAGAATGGGTGATGTACCATGTCAGTTTTGTTTTGTGTTGTTTTATTGCCAATTGTACAAGCGGAAAACATTTAATACACATTCATCTCTTGGGTGAGATTGGATCGTCTCATGTCTTATTTCATTTTCTGTGAACTTATAATTCATGTCATTTGCTCATTTTTCTATTGGGTTGTTTTACATCTTAAGGAGATTAATTCTTTCTCTAAGATGTGAGTCACACATTTTTTTCCTATTTTTTCATTTGTCTTTGGTTAAGAGTCTAATCTTTACCATCTTTCCCCAATTCCCAATGCCTGTCACAGTTTCTGGCACACAAGAAATACTCAGTAAGTATTTGTGACATAAGCAGCTTTATGGGGAAAGAAAAACATCCTTGGAGTAGGAAGAAGGCTCCAGATTCCTGCTCTGTGCCTTATATTCACTACAGAGACCCAAGTCAGCAACAGAGAATTACACATCCTCCTTCTTTCAGTAGCCACAGCCCAGCAAAGTATACCTGAGGCTAAAGCAGGGTACGGACCTGCAACGGAAATCCTGGCTGTCTTTTCCTTGCTGAGGAGGGGATTTCTGATGATACAAGATTCCCCTTCCCCAGAGCTGCCTTTCACTACGACAGATGCTGCGACTGCATACAGACCAGCTCTCTCTGCAACTAAAGGTGCTGCCACAGCTGGAATATCCTCTCCCTTGGCATCTATCCACTGTATTTGGGGCTGGGGATACCAGCCAGTGTACATGCACTCCAGATGGATCTCTCCAGCCTCATAACTCTTCACTTCAATGTGAAAATCAGAACACAGTGCTGTGGAACAAAAATGTACCTGAATTCTATGGAACCTCCTGTAGTGATGAAAGTCTCAGAAGGAATCAGATGGCACACTCACATGAGATAATTCAAGGGCTGTTTCACTAAGGAGCTGTTTTCAAAAACCTGGTCACGGTGAGGGGAAACTACATGGAACAGAACGATACCCCAGGGAGAGGAACAGTGGAGCTGTTACCACCCACCACTAAACCCAAAGAGAGGCTTAGTGGAAGCCCGTTTGAAGACCTAAGAGAGTCATGTAGAAAGGGCTTTCTTAAGAAGAGCTGTGATTTTCTGGAAAGGAATGCAGCCAGCTTGAGGTCATCCTATGTGGAGAAAGCCAGGAGGAAAAGTTCCTAGACCTCCTCTGCTGTATCTTCCATCTTCTGGCTGCAGCTCCCCATTGACCAAATTCATCCAGAAGCCACAGGGCAAGAGAGTGCCATGAGAAAGAGAAGTGCAAACCTTGACTTCTGGACATCAACCTGGTCTCACCTTCTCCTGTTGAACATAAGCAATTTCATGGAACATCAACATCAGACAAGGGCACTTTGCCACTAAGATGGGGCAAGACAAAAATGAGACCACTCAACAATGATGTTTGAATATAGAGAAAAACACAAATACTGTCCAAACCACAATCATATACAACATTTCCCTATCCTGGCTATGAGTGACTGCCTCTCCTTTCCCTATTACAGCTTTAACCTCATTCTAGTCTTCCTCCTAGGTAAGACATATTAAGACAACCAACTACAGAATCACACCCCCCACCTTCCTGACAGAATCCAGTCCAGAGCAAAGTCCCACTTTCATAAACCCTCCCCCAACTCCCCTAACACAAGCCCAAATTCTATAGCAAGTCTTCTCTAACACCCTCTTACTGAGACACCCCACGGTTCCCACATGGCATGTGTTCTCCCCCCCTGCAATAAGTAATACACATAAATTGGTCAACTCCAGGTGTGTTCCTGGAGGCCTTTGGCTGGAGAACATTGGCAGCACAGATGCTGTCCTACAGGTCAGCCTTCCAGGGCCCACCGCAGTGTATACCCGGAAGGGCCACAGAAGTAATCTGGAACACAACTGAACCAAACGATTGTGTGCTGAGGAGATATGTTCTTATCCTTCCTATCCTTGACGTTCCATTTCCCAGCTTAGACCCTGGCAGCCAGCTTGAGAGAGATCTTTACTTGACATCACAGAGTATAGGAGGGATTCCTCCTGGAGGAAAACATGTGTCTTTCTCAAGGGCCTCAGAGAAACAAAGAGGGAAGGCAGTGGAGGCAGTTCCTAGTGACCAGCCAGGATGCTCTGAGGTGGATTTGGAGCATGAACTCTGCTTCTGCCCCCAGGTCTAAAGGAGTAACCAGTTCAGAACAAAAGTAGGAGCCTCACCTGCAACCTTCAGCTCCATTACGGCATTTTCAGAGAAGTTTTCACCTTGGAAATAACACCGGTAGCTCCCTCTGTCAGAGGCTCTGACGTCGTAAATTCGGAGAGTAGCCTTTCCTTCAGTGACGTCATCTCTTAAAATCAAAGTTCTCGCTCGATACTCTGCCATCTGTTCGTCATCTCTTTCCTCCCCATTTGCATACATGTATACTACCTCCCTAAGGCTGGATCTCACCCACATCAGATCCATGATCTCCGCGTTCATCTTCGGGGAAAGATGACAGGGCAGATCAGCATATTCACCCATGAGGGCCAGGATGGGCCCAGAGGGTCCAACCACAGCAAACTGAGCTGGTCGGTAAAAGGAGAAGCTCCATCAGAGGGAGTTGGGGCATGAGGGTAAGGGAGGGATCTCATGCAAGGAGGGTGAGGTACAATCCTAGAGAGGAACATGATCCTAATAGAAGTACAATTTGTCTGAACGGCATGTGTACCTTCAGTTTGGGATGGGACTTCCAGGACTTCCAGGTATAAGAAGTTATCACAGGTTCTAACTGGACGATAACAGATAACTGTATGATTCAGTAACATAAATGCAGAATGTTCCCTACCTGAGCAAGGGGTAAGCAGCCGGACCAAGATGACACAGACAAGGAGGTTGAGCAGAGGGATGTGTAGGGAACTTGCCATTTTCATCTGTGCTGCAGAGAGATGATGGAGTCAGGCAGAAATTATGACTTGAAAGAAGATAGTGAATTCCACATCAAACCTCCACCTCCCCAGGGGCGATTCAGGGTGAAACACACAATCATCAGTGTGACAACTCAAGATCCTCTTCTGCTACAATGTCTGCTTGGGAGTGTCTTAACTTTGAGTTCAACATGGAAAATCACCAACAAAAATATGTAATGTTAAATGCACATTTAACATCCAAATATTATTTATTTAGGGTTAAATGTATGTATATTAACCCTAATCCATCAGGAAATCCTCAGCTCTACTGTCCAGAATCCTTCCACTTTCCCACACTTCTCCTGCTATAGCCAGGTCCAAGCCTCCACCCTCACACTCTGATTAATGCAGGACCCTCCTCTCTGGGTCCCCTGATTCCACTTGTGTCCACTATAGTCTATGCTCAACACAACAGACAGAACGTTCCTTGTGTAACATCATGCCACTCTTCTGCTTAGCAGCTTCCAGTGGCTCCCAATTCCCTCACAGTAGATGCTAAAGTCCTTACAATGGCCAACAAGGCCCTCCACGACCTGAAACTCTGAATTCATCTCCCCTATTCTACTCATCTTATCCAGCCACAGTGCCCTTCTTGCTTGTTCTTGAATAGGCCAGGACAGAGGACACCAGCACTGACTCTTCCCTCTACCTGGAACCCTCTTCCCCCAGACATCCACAGGACTCACTCCCTCACCTCCTTCAAGTCTTTGCTCTCAAGTCAGTTCCTCCATGAGACCCTCTCTGACCACAGGTTTATGGCAAAATTCTCCCATCCCCCTGAGTGTGCTCTCTTTTTCTCATCGATTTTCAGCATCTAACATATCCTGGGTTTACTGTCTGTCTCCACCTGCTGGAATGGAGCTCCACAAAACAAGGACATTGGTCTATTTGTTTCCTAATGTGTGATGAGCCCATAGAACAGTGTGTAGTTCACCTGGAACCTTTGGTAAATATTTGTTGAATGAGTGAATGGATGAGGGGTAACGTATTAACCCACCAATGCTCCTTAGAATTTTATATCTGTTTCGGTGATCAGATTAAGTGGTTGTCATCCCACAGGAAGGGAGGTGGAAAGTTGTGAAGACAAAGTCTGCCTCCATAATGACATGGTCTTTTGGTCTGGCTTAGAGACTATAGCCTGGCCTCCTCTTTTCCCACTGAGACTTGCCTATATTATTATATTTAATCCTATTTTTCAGTGAGGTGGGTTCAAGGAGCAAGAATGTCCTGAATATACATATAAGAGTATTACAACTCGGTTTGCTTCAGTGCACTCACTCTTCAGTGTGATTGTTCTTTGGGGGAGAAACATCCCTGGGAAGGAAATTATTCGTTTCCTGTCTTCCCTTTTCCCAGGTGTTCACCAATGCTCCTTGGCTGATGGTCTCATGGCTCACCAGCAATGGAAAAGTTCCTTGTCTTAATTTCTCCACTACTAGAGAAGTGCCTTCAGAGGCAGAAATGTAAAAGCTGGCATTTGCAAAGAAGGGGCAATTATGTCAATCTAGGAGCACACAGCAGTCCAACAAAGCTCATACTGGTATGAAATGTTCAGGTTCTCCAAGGTCAGAATGAGGCTCCCTGCAAACCCCCACTCCAAGCTGAGTGCTGTCAACTGTATTTTGTCTCAGAAAAGCACCTCTGTCGTCTTTTAGGTATAGTATGTAGCATCAATGTGAACACTGCAATAAGGGAATTGTAGCCCTCACCAGCTGGCAAGGCTTGATTCTAGCTGAGTTCTAGCTTGGCTTCCATCCTAACCACCCCAAAGTTGGCTGCATCCCTCGATAGTGGAGATCTATGCCTTGGTGGATTACTCAGAGATAGGACTGAGATCTCTGGACCTAACCTCCTCCTTTCTCCCTTGTTCCTCTCCCATGATGTATCCTCTCTTTCCATGAAGATGTCAGGTAGAATGGGGTCCTGATGAATGACTGGAGGGAGTGTCCATCTGGGGAGCAACACTGTGGACTCCTCTAGGGCCCAACACATGGCCATCACCAAGTTCAGATCATGCCTCCATCAGACTCTGGTTAAAATCCAGGCAGAATCCCTGGTGGAGGCTCTGGAGTCAGTCAGAGCCTAACCCACCACTTCTGAATCACAAGGCTAGTGAATGGGTGCCCTAGGAAGAAGACCAGTTCTCACCCATCTTTTCATTCATTCGCTCAACAAATATTTATTGAGCCCACACTATTTGCCAGGCCCACTATGTATTAGGTGTAGGAAGAAAAAGGGGGTGGAAACTAGGTAATGGTTGCATGATTCACAAGTTGTGTAATCTCAGCCATGTGACAAAACCTACTTGAGCTCCAGTCACTCATGAAAGAATGTGAAATATGAACTTCAGAATGTGCAGAATTGGCCCAGTAATTTTACTTCCAGATATCAGGTCCAGTGAAGTACTTGCATGCATCCAGAGAGGAGCATGTGTAAAGATGAAACTGCAGCATTGTTTTCAAAATCAAAAAAGTGATCAAAACTCTAACTGGCCACCCATAGGAGACTGGTTAATTAAATAATGTTTCATCCCTGTGAAGGAATTCAATGCGGCAGTTAAGACTAATTTGTAGTCGGCAAGCTAGATAATTAAGACCTATTAAATGAACAAAATGCAAGTTGCAGAACAATATGAATTGTTCTATTAAAAAACAAAGCTATAAATTGTTATATACATTTTATTAAATTGCCATAAAAAGGGTCTAAAAGGACACAGGCTACACTGAGAATTGGGGATCGAGTGAAAGATGCTTTTGTCCTTTGCACCCTATACTTTGAAAAGTTTTGAATGTCTTAAAGTTGAAATGTTTTCATGTAAAACTTAACAATTAATAACTGTTACAAGTAATTATAGTGGCTGAAACATATTAGTTTTTCAGAAAATACCAACTCGTCTAAAACAAACCAGCATGAGACCCCCAGTCATAGTTCTGCAAGTCCAGGAACTGCCGGGGGACAAGACAGCAGAAGTCTGAGCAGCTGGCACTCCTTCGGACCCTTGCCTGAAACCTGGACATGACCGCAGACAAAATATTGCCTTTCAGTACATCCTCTCCTCTTCAAAATATTCTTTGTGCTACTTGAGAGAGGACGATATTATTGTTATTATTATAGGTAACAATTTGTCTACTGTCCTCAGAGTAGAGAATATGTTTTCACTTATTTTAGGGTATTTATTGTTTTTGCTCCTGACTATAGACAATTTTAAAGTGGAGAAAAACATAATGGAAAAAAATTTGGATAATCTGTGAGAGTAATATTATACTTTGCTTCACGGTAATGTAAATATTTCTGGAAGTATTTTGGCCATATACATACCAAATGCCTTGGAAACATTTCATCCTTTGACCCAGAAATTCCACATTTAGGAATTGCACTTAAAGGAAAATAATGAGATATTAACACAAAGATTTATGTTTAAGGCTGTTCATCATAGTAAAATCTGCAACAGTAAAATGTACATACAATTTAAATATCCCAATTGGATCCAATTTTGTTACAATGATAAATAAAATTATTTATTAAAAACATGACACCTAGTGACTGTATGTAAATCCCTTTATGATTGGAAAATGTGTTGTTTATCCATATTCTGATTGTTGTATATGTGTGTGTATGTGTGTAGTATGTAGAGGTTGGTTCAGATTTTTCTGTAATACAAATAATTCTGTAATGCCCATCGTTACATATACACATTTAAGGCACATCTCTTTTTAGAATCTCTTAGAATACATTCCCAGAGAGGGCCAGGAGAGATCATAAGAGTCCTTTGCTCCTTTCTGACCAGAATAAGTTCTTAAGGACATGCCGTTGTTAAGTTTCTTTATTCAGGTTGTCTCCCTCCCACCAAATTTCCCAATGAAGGTCCATACTTTTGGCACTGCATCCCGCCCCCATCCCCTATCCCCTCACCACACTCACAAGCACCAAATCCCTTTCTCTAGGTGAGGACTTCCCTGTACCCACTCTCAACTGTTTAGCTGCTGTCCTTCCAGGGCGGTCCTGGCTTTTACCAGTTTCCCTCACTTACCCCTTGACAGTCCCATCTGAAGATCACAGCCCACAGAATGAAGGGAATCAATAGCTCTCCGTTAATGTTAACAGTCCGCTCTGGAAGAAAGGGAAAAGAAAGAAAGGCTGCTCACTGTGAGAAACAGTAACAGAGTCCCTCTCTAGAGGAATTAGTTTTTTCTTGGCTCCGAGGGCTGTTTCTTATCAGTTGCTGGACAGATACCAGCGGGAAATGTTAGAATGAAAATGAAACTGGACTGGACTGTACTAAATGAAGAAAAATTTCAGCCCTAATTCCCACACAGTTTGTGTCTCTCTGTGTTTACCTGTTTGAATCATTCATGTATGTATATATATGTAGATATATATATAATATATATATATGTATATATGCGTGTGTGTATAATCAGTATTTCATTATGTACACCCATTTTCTGTCTTTTATATCATAGTAGATTTATCAGCAGAATTAAGAAGAAAAATTTTAAGATTTTAATGTATGAAGAGAAGAAGACAGCCACTAATTAAAATGTTTCTGTGGCTGTTTGCTAACATCTGTGTGCATGTAGGGGGGCACATGGAGGAGGACATCTTCTACAACAGAGTAAAATGGAAGTACGAACAGAAAGAAAACCAGATCCACATTACCTTTTTAGCATCTCTGAAACTCAAGTCTCTGATCTATGACCAAATTGTGTAACTTTCAGGTTTCCAGAGACAGTGCTGCCAGTGACTGGTGGGCGTGTCCTCCATTTTTTAGAACAGTCTTATTTGGAGTGTTGCTGAGCAGCTTCCTTCACTTTCTATGCCTTATTTGTGCTACATTTGTATTTTCATGTGTATTTGTTTCCACTCTGCCCACAGGATTCTGTATTCTCTGAGGTTAGACTCTGGATAGGCTGTGAAGGCTTTTTCTATAAAGTGTCTTTGGACAAACTGGCCCTACCTGTGGCCTAGGGTTTCCCAAGACACTTTATGTGAGTCTCACATCATTGGTTAACGCTCCTTGGGCTTTGATGTGACCTTGGCTGATGGAATTTGATTATATTCCAACTCTTTGAATTTAGGCTCTGTGCATGGCTGGTTGCTTGTGCAATATCTACTCCCTACTTCTTCTTAGTAATCAAACCCAGTTTGGGGAGGACTTGCCATTTGCCCATCCCCCTTTTAGATAGGAGAGAATGAGGGACTAAGTTTGAATCAATGATTTGTAGATGGAAGTTGTTATGTTTTTCAAGAGGGTTCTATACTCATCCTACTTCCACTTCTTTTTTTTGCCTAGAACATGGTCCTTGGAGCTGGAGTGCAGCAATCATCTCAGGACCATGAGGCACCCTTGAAAATGGAAGCCACATGCTGAGATGGTAGAGAATAAAGATCGAAGAAATCTGGTGCACCAATGCATCTCTGAGTTGTCAGACCGGCTCTGGACTGCTGCTCTCTGAATTCATTTTATACAAAAGGAGATCAAAATCTTGTTTTGTTGATGCCAGTGGTACTTCCAGTCTCTGCTGTTAGCAGCAAAATACAATTCTTCCCTCCTCATCACCCACTATCAACAGTTTATCATGAAACTTTTCAAACATAGAGCAAAGTTAAAAGATTTTTTCAATGAACACCAAATTTACCTACTATTTATATTCCATAGTGAACATTTTACTATAGTTGCTTTATTATAATCTTCCCTTCTCTTTATCCCCCCATCCATCCTTATGTATTTAAAACCTTATTTATTTATTTATTTATTTGGTGCCTTTTAAATTAAGTTGCAAATATCAATGCCCTTTCCCCTGGATATTTTGGCACATCTATCAGTTACGAGAACCCCGTCGTGAAATGCGTGAAGCACCAATGCTGTGTCTGAAACACAAATGTAGGAGTACCTTTCAGTCATATGTTCTAAAAGAATCAGGGGTGTATATTTATCTGGGTATCTCTAGCTCCTAAATGCCACACCATCCCCACCAATATTCACAGTCTGGCCCCTGGTACCTGGCCACTCCTGGTAAGAGTCAGACTCCCTCCAGGAGGCTGTGTAAGCAGGAGGCTCCAGGATTGCCTCTCAGGAACAACTTGATATAGGGACAAGCACTGCCTCAGGGACCTTCTGTCCATTCCCTGACATCTCCTGAGAGAAGTGCTCTCTTCTCTGCTGATATTACAAGAAGGGAATAGATATTTTGGAGGACCTGTAGGATGCAGGGCCCCACAAATTACTTGAAGAGGGGCAGGCGTAAATCACTCGTGAAGGAAGCTGAGGAGAGGCATGTGGTTGAGTTCAGAGACAAAATAAAATAGGAGAGTGGGCATCACATTAGAGATGGGTTAGAAAGTAAAAGTTATCTCAGAATATAACCATCTTCCCTGTCAGTAATCAGGCTGGTGTAAAAGACATATTTGATAAAGCCAACTACATGGTTAACAGAAAGAATATTTCTCCCAAGATCATGATGTTGCTGCAAAAGGGCAAAACAAACCCTTCTCTGAGTGTTTCCTGCTTTCTTACTCACTGAGAAACTTTCTTTTAAAAATTCAGTCACCTTTCATTCTTTTGGATATGGCTCGCCAGTTTTCCCAACACCATTTATTGAAGAGAGCTTCCATTCTCCATTGCACATTTTTGACTCCTTTCTGAAGATTAGCTGTACGTTATCTTTTTCTTTTCTTTTTTCTTTTTGAGGAAGATTAGCCCTGAGCTAACTGCTGCAAATCTTCCTCATTTTGCTGAGGAAGGCTGTCCCTGAGCTAATATCCATGCCCATCGTCCTTTACTTTATATATGGGATGCCTACCACAGCACGGCACGCCAAGTGGTGCCATGACTGCACCCGGGATCCGAACCGGTGAACCACGGGTGACGGAAGTCGAATGTGTGCACTTAACTGCTGCACCATCGGGCTGACCCCAGCTGTACATTATCTTAAACCAGACACAAAAATTAACTCAAAATGGATTAAAGACTTGAATGTAAAATGTGAAACCATAAAACTCCTAGAAGAAAACATTCACTGTTTTCTCTTTGACATTGGTCTTAGAGTATCTTTTCAAACATCATGTCTGCTCAGGCAAGGGAAACAAAAGAAAAAATAAACAAGTGGGGCTATGTCAGGCTAAAGTGCTTTTGCAGGGCAAACAAAACCATAAAGAAAATGAAAAGACTACCCACCAACTGGGAGAAAATACTTGCAAATCATATATCTGACAAGGAGTTAATTTCCAAAATATATAAAGAACTCATACAACTCAACAACAAAAAATGAAAAATGTGATCAAAATGGGCAGAGTATATGGAAAGATATTTTTCCAAAGAAGATATACAGATGGCCAAGAGGCATATTAAAAGATATTCAACATCACTAATTATTAGGGAAATTCAAATCAAAACTACAATGAAATATCACTTCACACCCACCAGGATGGCTATTATTAACAAGACAAGAAATAACAAGGATGGAGAGCATGTGGAGAAAAGGAAAACTTCATGGACCATTGGTGGGAATGCCAACTTGCAAACTGGTGCAGCCACTGGGGAAAAAAGTATGGACATGTCTCAAAAATCAAATATAGAAATACCATATTATCCACCTGTTTCATGACTGAGTGTTTATCCAATGAATACGAAATCAATAATTTTAAAAGATTTATGTACCCTTACATTCATCGCAGCATTATTCACAATAGCTGACACGTGGAAGCAACCCAGGTGCCCATCTATGGATGAATAGATAAAGATGGTGTGGTACATATAAACAACGGAATACCACTCAGCAATAAAAAAAATTAAATCATGCCATTTGTGAAAACATGGATGGACCTTGCTTTCATGGATGGTATGCTAAGTAAAATAAGTCATAGAGAGAAAGACAAACACTGTATGATACAACACATATGTGGAAGATAAACAAACAAACACATAGAGAACAGATTAGTCATTAGAGAAAAGGGATTGGGGGAGGCTGAAAGGGTTAAAGGGGCACATATGTATGGTGACAGATAACATCTAAACTATTGGTTGTGAACATGATGCAGTGTACATAGAAACTGACAGATGATAATGTACACCTGAAATTTACACAGTGTTATAAGCCAATATGACCTCAATAAAATAATTTAAAAATAAAAATAAATAAAAATTTGGAGTCTATCCATTAAATAAGAATGAACTATCCCATTCTTGTCTGGAGGATGCAAGTTACTTTGACACAGAAAAGCAACTTTGATTTCCATCCTAGATGCTGGACTTCAGACAAGGGGTTTCAGGGCACAACATTTTCTTAACTTTACAGTTTCCAAGAATATAAGACCCCAGGTCTACTCCTCATGCAGACGATTACATAAAGCCTTTGGAGAGAAATATTTGTGAAATAGAGATGGAAAAAGTTCATTAATTCAGCAAATTTTTATTGACAACCCACCATGTAGTAGGTATCAGCACTGAACTTCAAACTCGTGAGGAGAGGTGGCGTAATGGAGGAGTTAAACCACAGACTCTGAAGCCAGGTTTCCTGGGTGAGCTTTACTAGCTTGTGACCTTGGGCCAGTTACTTATCCTCTCTGTGCATTAGTTTTTCTATCTGTAAAATAAGGATGATAATAGCATCTGCCTTTTTGGATTGCTGTTGTGAGGATGAAATGAGATAATTCAGGCAACTTTCTTACAACAGATTATACAGATTAAGCCATAAAAATGTATGTTAAGTAAAAACTAGATTTGGTCCTCCTTCTCAGAGTTGACAGGTTGGCATTTTCCCCTAAGGAGGGTGAGATGCCGGGGATTGATGCTGAAGGAATGCAGAACTGAAGGGTGGACTTCTACTGTTAACTTTGGGGGATGAGCTTGATAGATCCCAAAAGGAATTCAGAGACTTCTTACCTGTAAAAAATAGGTGGGTGTACATATACTTAATAACAATTCCAGTCCCTTTTGAACAGCAATTGTACTTTCAAGAATTGATCTTAACGCCAAATGCCATAGAGAAATTTATTCTCTGTAAGTGATGAGGGCTACGAAAAATGATTTACATACAAAGATGTTTATAGTAGTATTATTTGTAACAAAAAAGAAAGAAAACCATCTTCATTATGAAAAATATAAGATT